AACCGGTTACGGTCGGTACGACGTACGAACGTAAGTTTAGTTTAGTCGTACTAAAGTAAAGGAAACGAACGACACTACGTAACTAAGTAATAAGTACTATATATATATATATATATATATATATATATATATACATATATGTGAGAGAAGGTAATGCACCATATCGAAAACTACTTCTAAATAAATACACCCACACACGTAGGTGTGTCATTCAAAAGGCAAAAAAAAATATATAATAATAAAAAAAATTCAATGCTAAGGTTATTTTCTGTGAATAATAATTCATGAAGTAATAAATAAATCACTAACTACTTTGTCCTTAACCACTTCAGGCCCAATGCGCCATACTTCCACAACATCCACACGGAAATGACTCTCAGCAGACAACTGAGGGCTGTTGAACGTTGTACAACCAGCAGTAGAGTGTCCATGATCAAAGTTTGCATCAAGCCAAATGCCAAAGTTGTTGAGCTGACCTCCTAAACCCTGTACAAAATATTCACACACACTCATTTTTATTTCACTTAGAAAATTGCTAAATAGAATCTTCATTTAGCCTTGCAAAGTAATAACAAATACTTGTATGCTAATTGTACTACTAACTGTACAAATATCTTAAGTTTATGTCTGATAAATAATCACAAGTACATGAATGTATACAAGTATAAAGAGGTTATAATTTCTTTATATGGGTTACTGGTTAGGCTACATTTGGAGTATTGTGTTCAGTCTTTGGCTACTTACCTTAGAAAGGATACTGAATTGGTGGTAAGAGATCAGATGAGAGCTACTAGGATGAAACCTGGGTTGGAAAGATTGTCATACAAGGACAAGTCAAGATCTTTGAAATTATATTCTTGTGAAAAAGAAGAGTTAAAAGTGATCTAATTGAGGAATTAAAGATTATTAAGGGATTTGACAGTGTTAATGCATCATCTTTTTCATACTTAATGGTGAGATGGTAAAACTAAGAGGCACAAATATAAATTTTGGCAGGATAAGAGTCATCTTTAACTAAGACAATTATATTTTTCTAACAGTGTGGTAGACCTTTGGAGTGAATGGCCTTTAGATGTGGTAGATGAAGTAAATTTAAGTGAGTTTAAGAAAAGGCTTGATAAATATTCCAATGATAATGGATGGCTTTTGGGATTTCTTTTTATAGTTTAGTTTAGATGATGTGTATGCTTCTGCTAACTGTACATTTAGCTTAAGTTTGATAACAAATCACACTAGCTTAGGTTAAGTCTGTTTTCCATCACAACATTTTTTCCTCTGTTCATGAGAAATGTAGAATCTGACTGTATGATATCTACGTATCCTTTAAATATATATACATATGATTACATATTTCAGCCAACCAGTCAACCTACTTTTGCAGTCTCAGCTTTCACCAAAGAAACACTTGAAAGATGTTTGGCTGTGAAAGGTCCTTTTAAGAAAGTTTTACAGGGAAAGGGTACTGTTTTAAACAAATATTAAATGATGAGGTACACTTATCCAAGGCTAGACCTAAGCATTAACTTTTTTCATATTAAGAACAATTTTAGTGGGAAAACTCCACATACTTAACTTAAAAGAAAAAAAATTTTTGCACCAGGTTGCATTGATCCATACATTCTCATGGCAGAAACATGCACTAACAAGTTAAATGTGAAAATATTTAATCATATAATTAAGGTATTTATTATGCTGTGTTAAAGATATTGTTGTGGATATGATAAGTTGTCTGAATTAACAGTAATTTTCACAATAGAATGTTTATTGATAATCTTTCATTATTACAAGGATAATTCTTTTACCTACCACTTAGCAATTTAGTAGATGTAAAACTGGCTAGAACTGAACCTCCACTTGCCTTAAGTATATCATCATAGTTTGACAAAAGTTTTAGAAGTTAAAGCAAAATAAAAAAACACTCAAAACCTTGTTAGAAGTATAGCCATCTTTCCCAAGTTTAACAATGTTAAAAATAATATGTTATTATTTCATTTAGTATTCAATATTAAAATACAAATCCTCTACAATCACTTGAAATAGTGCTAAAAATATGCAAGCTCACTTTTCATGCCTCTATATACATGGGCATCTGCAGGAAGGTGCAAGGGGAAAATTAGAAACATATTTCTTTCTTTATTCCTATATATACCCTTAATTTAGACTTTCAAATATGAATTTTAAAACACAAGTTCATAAAAGTTGAACTGTGTCCCAATCTGTAATATGCAGAAGATAGCATTATGTGGCAACTCAAGTTAAAAATTTGAATTTTGTTGCCAACTTGGTGCAAATGTTTGAATTTTGAACTTTTCTTCACACATGGTGAAGTTTGATTATTCTTCTGGTTCTGGACAGAGCATCAAATTTTATTATTCGGCAGGGAACTGTTTTCACTATTTACTTTATATCTTTGTAAATGTTTGTTTATCAGTCATCATTCCTGTGCTAATTTTTGTTACAGAATCTAACCAATTCAGTATTTTATATTTATTCTTACTACAAGTTCAAAGCTGTGTCCATGTGAGAAGTAAAAGACTAGATCAAAGGGAAGAGGACAATGTTGATAAATAATAAAGCTAGAGTTCAAAAGAGAGCCAAGCTGTATTAAAAACCACAAAAGCACAATGCTGTCAAAGAAGAAGATAAGTTATGAAAGAGGCATGAAAGAGAACTGAAAAGAATTGCCATGGAGAACTCTTCAGCAGAACTATAAGAATATCGGAAAAATGAAATAGAATGGATGAGTTTGTAAGGACAAAAACAGACGTGAGGAACAAACATCTGAACAAGTCTCAACACAGGCTACAAAAATTTTAAGGAATGTTCTGAGAAGACAAAAGCAAAGGTTGCTGAAAGAGAATAAGATGAAAGTGAATTTGGTCAGTTTAATAAAAAAACAATAAAGAAATGAGTAAAAGGGATAAAAAAAAACAGACTGAAATGCAGGAAAGAAGGCACTGAAGTGTCAGAGAATGATAACATATCATTTAACATAACAACATTATCAAATTACCATACTTCTACCACTCAAACTCCAACTTCACTAAATACATCAAGTGAATCACTAGCATCATTACTCTGGAGCAAGATGATACCATGTGCCAAGAAGACGACAAAACTTGCCTATGTTCATCAGATTTTCTTAAAGGAACAATTTCAGTAGCAAGAAAGGAGTTGGGTTTGAACTTAAGCAATGGTGTGAAAATGAGTCTGTCAACTAATATCCCTCTAGAGAAAAGAATTGAATAGTTCTTTTGTTGAGAGGATGTATCATGTGTTGCTCCAGATACACAGAAAGTGGCTACAACTCCCAAAATAAGATGGAGAAACAGACAGTTCATTATCATTTAGGTCACTTGAAGACCCTTTATCAAAATTTACTTGCAGAAAGTGAAACTGATTACTTGTAGTAATGTATCACAAGTTTGATGACTTACAATATTAGATCACCATCAGTACCTGACTGGGAAGCTTGTTTGTATGAAACATGCCTAAATTCATAAATAAAATTGGAAAATCTGATGAACTTGAAGAAAATGGATAAAGTCAACAGTGAGGAAGCAGTAGACAAACCCAACTTCACACAATTGGTTGAGCAACTGTCTGATATAGCAAGCTGCAAAGATGTAAATGATGAGAAAATATATTTCGAGGAATGGTCTAAAGTCCTCAATCCAGATTCCAAAAAAGGAGTCAAAATTTCTCATAAAATGCAATGACTACTGAGTCTGAAAGACTTCACAAGCCAACTGATCAGGAAGTTTAACATTATAAAAGACCATATTCACAGGGCTCATATGCAGTTCAGGGCATTCAAACAGGCACATGTAGATGCAATGGATGCAAACAAAAAAATAAACATTGCTACTGTACCCATCTGAGACAAGCTTGAGAAGAGAAAAGTGCATATAATTTTGAACTTCAAGTGATTTTGCATGTCATGTATATTTGGTAACCTTCAGGACAGAAGTCTGTTCTTCCCTTGAGTGATTATACTGATCACAAAGCTCCAGTTGTATTTACCAGACTTGATCCAGTCTCTAAACAATTACTGGATGAAAGTGTTACTAAAATCAATATCATATCAGATTCACCGACAAGTCAGTGTTTTGGCTTATGGCAAAATCTGCAGTGAAGCACAATGTTGAGATGACTTGGATATACTTGGACTTTGGAATCTAGGAATGATATTAGTTTTATTTGTTTCGATCTGTGAGCTTTTCTTCATGAATGTTTGAGTCAATTTTCATTGCCAAACGGTTGAAATTTCTGTTTGAGAAGCCAAATATATTTATACTAATCTTGAAACTGTGCTATGTTATAAGGTATAGATATTACAAATTTTCATATTAAAACATGTTCTACTTTCTTCCTGGAAAAAGGATTCCAGATAGTATTGGTGGTGATGGGAAGCATGCAAACAAGGATGTCATCACAATGAATCCAGATTTGTCCTTTTACAGTGTCAACAACTTAACCCTCTCTCCATGGGCTACTTTTTCTGTGTATCTCACGAGGTTTTAGTGGGTTACCTTCAAAATTTAATCAAACTACTTTCTTATTAAGGTACACAAATAAATTTGGCATAAAAATGTAGCTAATAACCCAAATTGTAATAGTATACAAGATTTAAGTTCTTAAATTTTATATACTATATTCAAAAAAATCCTGAATTTCCCCTAGTATGAGAATTGCGACATTTTTCTTCTAGGCATTCACTTTCTCTAATTTATTTATCACCCCTCCAGAAAGTATAAAATTTAATGTAAAATACTGATTATAATGTTTTCATCACTTAGACAAAACATAATTTACATAGCCTTCAATTTTATTTAGTTACAGATCAATGAAATTAAAAATCACAACCCTCTTGCTACACCCACCAGTCAAATAATCTCTTTCAGAAATTGCATTATAAATTATATTATTTATAACCAAGGTTTTAAACTATCAAATGAAGTATTATATTATGTTGTTTTCTGTACAGAGAATTGTCATTTTTGCTTCCAGTTCAATCTTTATTTCTATGGGAAATACATTGACAAGCTTAGCTGAATTTCTAAGGGCTCTTGTCACATAGTTAGAAAGCCAACAAAATTGTGATAGTTAAGGGACATATTCTGCCCTTTGCATGTTATTATTCTGTGTTCTTTGGAACATTATTTAACTAAAT